TGTTCCCTCTAAGCTGAGTGAGTGTGAGCTAGCTCACAGTTTTTTTAGCCTCCGGCTCACACACTTTTGCCTTCGCTCAGGAAGGAGGGCTCCAGGGCAAACTGATTTATGCAGCAGCCAAATCGCTCGCTCACAAAGTAGAATTTTTGCTCACAGGACTCTTGTAGCTTAGTGGGAGCACTGCATGCCACCCTCCTTCATCCTGGCAAATAATGGCAGCCCCAACAGAGAAACTGTTGCCCCACCTGCCACAAAATCCTGGTGATGGGCCGGACTGCCAGTCAGAGCAGACAATATTGATCTGAGTCTGACTCAGCGGAAGGCAGCTTCATCCGTACAGCTGCCAGCTGGGCGGGGGGGGGAGAGTCTTGCTCCATTTTAAAGAGGCTTATTGTGATATTCTTTGCCAGGTGACATCATGTACGAAAAGCTTCACCTGCCTGTTTCCACACCTTAAGCCCCAACAAACGATCTTGGACCTGGTGGCCTCACATCCCATCACAGCCTTCTTGCAAGAAGGCAATGCCCCGCCCCCCTTCCAGGCTGAAAAGTACGCAAATGGAGAGTGATTTGAGCAAAGCGTACTTTATTCTATCTGGAACAAGATGACTTTGGCCGGCTCGCAGGCCGGCTTATATCCCACAAGAAACCACCACCCAAAACACACCCCTACTTCCCTATAGGTTATTTACAGTGGCCGAGAGTCCCATAGGCTCTCGGCCGAGAACCTAGCCCCCTGATTGGTGCGGGCTAGGATCCGCATAGTCCATTGTCTCTTGGAGCGAAGCTCTGCGTTTGTCTCTGGACTTGTCTGGACTGGATACATTACACAGGCATTGCCATCCTGAGCTCTGCAAGAGCCAACTGGAAGCATCCCAAAGAAAAAGCAGGGAGGTGTTGCCAGAGTGTGGCAATTCCTGCTACTTTAGTTGATTTGCCAATTCCCAGCAAGGAGGAGGAGGAAGAGAAAGGAGTCTCAGAGCGGCTTACAATCTCCTTTCCCTTCCCCTCCCCTCCCCACAACAAACACCCTGTAAGGTAGGTGGGGCTGAGAGAGCTGCCCTTGAGAGAACAGCTCTGAGAGAACTTGTGACTGACCCAAGGTCACACCAGCAGCTGCATGTGGAGGAGTGGGGAATCAAACCTGGTTCTCCCAGATTAGAGCCTGCGCTCCTTTAAGCATTGAGAACAGCAATCCGGCTGGTTATGCTTTTCTCCCAGCATGTAGAAAACTTCACCCACTAGATTTCTGCCTGCCATGCAGTTGTTGTTTTTCTAAGGCACAGCAGAGCTGCCAGGATAGAGCTGCCAAAACAGTTGGGGGAAAGTCCCTTCCCAGAGCCAGTAGAAAAGAAATCCCACCCAGTTCTTCATTTGTAGAGTGGGCTAGGCCCAGTTTCTGTATCTGGGCCTGGGGCAAACTAATGGTGTGTACTCCTCCTCTGCCAGATCCTATCCCAGACAATCTCATGTGCCCTGAACAAGACCTCAGCATTATTTATGTGGCCCCAGTTGCTAGTTGTAACAAGTCCCTGCCCCCATCCTAGCCCAAGCTTACAATTCCATGCATCATGTAAGAAAACGGTATATTTCATTTTGGAGTGATCCAATGGTATGGTAGAAGAACCGCACCCTGACCTGGATGGCCCAGGCTAGCCCGATCTCATCCAACCATGTAAGCTAAGCAGGGTTGCCCTTGAATAGCATTTAGATGGGAGACCACCAAGGAAACCCAGAGATGCTCTTGCAGAGGCAGGCCATGGCAACCCCCCTCTCCCTCTCCTCTTGCCTTGAAAACCTACTGGGCTGCAGCATAATGGCCCTTTCCACTGTCTAAAACAATTGCATTCTTGCCCCAGGTCCTTGGAAGTTTTTCCACTGCCAGGAGTCATTTCCTGCAGGAGCGCACAGGAGCAGAACTCCGGCAGTAAAGAGCCCAGGGGGCGGGCACATGCAACAAGCCCCACCCCCTGCTCCCAGCAGCCCTCAGTGAGAGCAAGAAGCAGCCAGGTAAGTTGCAGAGCCCCCCCAGTCCAAAACAGTCTAGTGGCACCTTTAAGACCAAGTTTTATTCAGGTACAAGCTCTCCCTCCTCTACGAGGACAGATCTGCATGTCCCCCCCCCCAAATAGCTATCAATCCAAAACAGCCCAGTGGCGCTTGAGCGGTGGGTGTTGCCTTCTGACACACTTCAGGCGATGTCAGGGGGTGTGGCATATGCAAATAAGTTATGCTAATGAGTTATTTTAATGCGCTCCTGCACCTCTTTTTCTACTAAATGACCCCTGCCCACTGCCAATGCTCTCTCTAAGCTGAGGAGTCTTGTGAGCAAAAATTCTACTTTGTGAGTTACTGGCTTGAAAGTTGAGAGTGAGTGATTTGGCTACTGCATAAATTAGTTTGCTCTGGAGCGGAGCCATCCTTCCTTAGCTAAGACAAAAATGTGTGAGCCAGAGGCTGAAACACTGTGAGCTAGTTGTCTTCTGCTCAGAGGTATACTGCCCCTGTAGATGGAGGCTCTATTCCTAATTCTCATGTCTAACAACTCCAGAAGAGCCCTGATAGATCCATATAGGCCAGTGTTTGGTTTCCTAGTGTGGCCAATCAGACGCCTCTGCAAATTCTTCACACAGGACATAAAGGCAATATCCCTCCCTCCCCACAACAGTCTGTATTTAGAGGTAGACTGCCTCTGAATGGGGAGGTTTCACTTGAAGCATCATGGCTAATAACCATGGATAACCTCACCTCCATGAAGCTGTCTAGAGCTGTTATTTAAAAAAAAGCCACACCCTTCTAGAACCAGGTGCTATTTTCACATCTAGTGATAGGGAGCTCCACAAGTCAGCTGCAGCTTGGATAAAGAAGAAAGGTGGTAAAATTTTAGGAGCCCCTCTCTCATCTCTTAAGAGTGGGCCAGGAAGCAAAAAAACAAACCCATCTTTCCTGTTTGGCTCTATTCACTTGTAGGGAATGGAGCTCCCTATAGGGAAGGCTGAGAAGGAGGAAATCCCACCCAGCCTTTGACACTCTACACGTTTTCCCTTTGCAGATAGGAGGAACCTGTTTTTTGAGGATTGAGTAGACGTGGGCAAAATCATGCGAAGCTGCGGGCAAAATGCTACAGCGCAGCAGCAGTTTGTGTGAAATTGACATGTACGATGGGGCAAAAGGGAAGAGCGAGCGCGGAGCAGCGCTTGTGCGAAAATGGTCTCTGCCTGCCTGGTGTTCGCCCTCCTCTCTTTCCTTCTCCCCCCGACCATTTGCCTGTAGAAATCTGGGAGTCGTTTAAGAAACGTGGGGCTTTAACACCTTTCTGTCAGACACCCCCCCCCCCATGAGGCCACGCCAATCTTTTCCTTTTAAAAAGTGGGACTAGCTGATGCGCGCATCCTTTTCCTCGCCTCGCACTTGCGTGCGTAATAAATATTAGCCGGCTCCTGAGCCGCCCGGAATCCTCGAGATGGGGCAGGCGTCAAGAAAGCCGTCGCCTTTCGGGCCCCTCCCGCCCCCTTTCCCCGCCATTTACCCTTTCAGAGCCTCCGTCTTTGCGTTAAGAGCCCTTCTTCCGCGCCCCGGTCTCTCGCCCCTAACCCCGCCGGCGCCGCCTGCCCCCCCCTCCCCCTCTGATCCCCTCCAGCCCAGGTTTTCCTTGCAACGCCTCCTTTAAGCCATGCGAGGGGGATTTTTCCGGCACACTCAAGCGGATGGCTCCAATCGCGGCGGGGAGAGCAGCAGCAGCTGCGGCGGCGATGGGAAGTCAGGGCCGGGGAGCGGCGCGCAGGAGCCCCAGCCCGAGGAGCGGCATCAGCGGCCTCCCTTCCCTGCTCGGGCCCCGGCAGGTCCCTCGGAAAAAAGAGCCCGGCGGAGGCCACGATGACCTGATTTCCCGGGGTTGCGCCTCGCCCCCCTTCTCCTCCTCCTCCTCCGCCAGCCTCGCCACCCTCCAGACGCCTTTTGCGCACCGGAGAGACTCCGCTGCTGCACCGAAGCCCCGGCCGGAGGGAGAGAGAGAGACCGAGAGACGTGTTCGGAGACCGGAGCGCCCCTCCAGGCTGGCCGCCGGCTTCCTGAGCCGGGGGAGAGGGCGAAGAAGAGGCCGGGCGAAGGCGGGAGTCGGTCGCACCTGCTCTCGGCGGCGTCTCTTTACCGCAATGTCAGTTTCACCGAGCGCGGCTGGTCGGGTTCCACTCTAGTCCGCCCCGCAGCCTCCAGCCGGACCCGGCTTCTGCCGTCCGCGTCTCTCTTGGACTTTTGTGTCTCGCCTTCTCCGCCCCTCCTTCCCGACCCCTTGCCAGGAGGACTCGAAGGGGCGTCTAAAGAGGCGGGGAGGGGGTGTCAGGGGAAGCCTCGCCCCTCCTCGCGGCAGCCAGCCGGCCGACCTCCGTCTTTCCTGGAAAGGGGGGGAGGGAAGCGAAACGCGCGCCGCCGCCCTCCACCCCCCTTTCTCGCCTGCCCCCTCTCCAAAGATCCACGCGGAAGAGTCCCTCTCCAGACTCTCGGGGCGCCCGAGAGAACCCCGCCGCTCCGAACTGCGCGCTCCCCCCGCCGCCCACCCCCGGAGTCCAGAGTTTGCAGGCAAGTCCGCGCGGCTCGCTTTGCCGAGGGACAGTGTGGGGCGGACGGCGCGACAAGGACAGCGCTGCGACCGGCGGAGAGACTCGACGGAGTTGGCGGCTCCCCTTCCCCCCTCCCCCGATGGTCTTGGCAAGGAGCAATGACTCATTCGCTTCCCAGGATCCGGGGCACCTGTCCGCCTAGAGGGAGCCCGGAGCCCGCTCGGCTCTCCGAAGCCGCGTCACCTGCCCGGAGCAGCCGCTTTCCCACGTTGCCCGCCGCCGCGGTGAAGAAGCCCAGCTGAGGCCCGGGCGAGGGGGGGAGGGAGGGAGGCCGGCCAAGGACAGGCCGGTTGGGGGATGTGTGCGCTCCCCCCGCTGCCGCCTCCCCGTCCTCGAGCCGAGGCGCTGGCCAGCAGCAGGTCCTCCTCTCCGCAGCCGTCCCCGTGGCTCTCCCCACCTGGGATGCTCTTTGATGGCTTCTTTGCGGAGAGTGAAAGTCCTGCTGGTCCTCAACTTGATCGCCGTGGCCGGCTTCGTCCTCTTCCTGGCCAAGTGCAGGCCCGTCGCCGTGAAGAGCGGGGAGGGCTTCCGCGACGTCCACCCCCCCCGGGCGGAAGGGGCCAACCTGACCGTCCGCGCCGCCAACCCGGTCCAGGAGGCCGTCCTGAAGCGGCTCTCGCTCCTCGAAGACATCGTCTACAGGCAACTCAATGGTAGGGCGGCCGCCTCGGCTGGGTTCTGGCGGGACTCCCCCCCCCCCCCCAATCCTTGTGATGGTCCTGCCCAGTGTTCCCTCTAAGCTGAGTTAATGTGAGCTAGCTCACCGTTTTTCAGCCTCCAGCTCACAGATTTTTGTCTTCGCTCAGGAAGGATGACTCGCCAACTAATTTATGCAGTAGCCAAATCGCTCACTCACAAATTTCATGCCAGTAGCTCACAGAGTAGAATTTTTGCTCACAAGATTCCACAGCTTAGAGGGAACATTGGTCCTTCCTTTGGAGGATTCTCTGTGCAAACAAAAGACTGGGTAGAACCTCCTTAACTGTCTTAATCTCCCTCCCTCCCCCCCCAAGTTTGCTCCTTTCTCGTGTTCCCTCTAAGCTGAGTTAGTGTGAGCCGGCTCACAGTTTTTTTTTAGCCTCTGGCTTGCAGATTTTTGTCTCAGCTCAGGAAGGAGGGCTCCAGAGCAAACTGATTCATGCAGGAGCCAAATTGCTCGCTCACAACTTTCATGCCGGTAGCTCACAAAGTAGGATTTTTGCTCACAAGACGCCACAGCTTAGAGGGAGCATTGATCAAGACCATTCATATCTCCTGCTGAGGTCTTTGAAATGGGACCTGATATGGGGTGAGGTCTTATCGGGTGTAGCCTATTAATCAAGTCGATCCACAGACTTCAGGGTGAGTTTCAGGCTCTGTGTAAGCAGGGGGGTATCTTGTTGAATGAAGATCCGTGTCCTGTATGATGGAGGAGTCTAAAGACTTTAGCCCACATGAATCAGTTACAACAAAAACAAACGGGAGTTTCATGGTACCTCAAAGGCTAGCAAGGTTCTATTTCAGTCTCAGTTTCTGTGGACTGAAGTCACCGACCAGTCCGTGAGATTTTATGCTGGAACAAAATCTTTAAGGTGCCACTGCATTTCTATCTGAAGTATGGTGGCGCTCTTCAATCAAATACATGTTTGTAGGGCTGAGAACATATGTACTAAACCATTTCCCCCATGTCCAAGGCTCTCTTCACCCAGTGGTTTTCATTGGCAGGAAGTACTCAATTTACGGAATGGTCCCTTCTTGCCTTCTGTGCCAAAGATCAGAGATATCTCCCGCCTGCCATTTTTGCTTCGGCGAGTCCCTCTGTTTGTCTCTAAACCTCACTGAGTTTTGAACTGTTGATGTTGTGGGTTTTTTGACTCTGAGATGCGGCTTCCTTGAGCTTGGGTTAACCAGTAAACATGCCTCTTTATTTTTTTTTGGTACAATCGCTGATGATGATGAAAGGTTTTTCATTGAACGCAACCAAGGGTATGAGGGGTCTGATGGCCTTCTACCATTTGTTCAATTTGGCGCAGGCAGGGAAGCTACGTTGGAGTAAAGCTGACTTTCCCTGGAGTAAAGGCCATCAAAGGGTTTCTTTCTTTCTTTCCCAGCCTTGCTTTGATGATAATCCGCTCACTGGAATTTATGGAGCACCGTTTAACATGCTAAATGTGGTGCGAATCCCCGGAGGCTGGTCACTCAGACTTTAGCTCAGACGGGCAGATGTGTTTCTCTTGCCCTAGGCTATTTAGTCTCCTGTGCTCAAAGGCACAAGCAAATGAAGCCCAGAGGCTGTTCACTTCATTTACTATTGCAAGTTAACTGGCCATGCAGATCTTGTACTGCTATGGTGAGATGGGAGGTTATGCTACGTTTCCATTGGTAGGAAGAGGACTCTTCCCGGTGAGGCAGAACCTAGCGCACCAGCAAATAATGTTCCAGCAGTGTTCTGCCCACCATGATCCCTGGAGGCAGGCGGAGGAGGGCTGTATCGCATCTTCTAATGTTGCGTTAGCACCACCGGAAGGGGACTTCGTACAGGCCATCTAGCCCAGCCACCTGCAAGAAATCAGGCGCTAGGACATCTCCGATAGACAGCTTTCCGATCTTGGTTTGAAAACATTGTCCAGAGGAGAGCCCACCATCCTCTAAGGAACTGGTTCCATTGCTGAACCACTCTCACCCTTTGGGAGTCTTTCCTAATGTTCAGCCCAGATCTCCCTTCCTGTAGCTTTGGCCCACTAGATCTAGCCTCCTCCTCTGGAGCAACAGAGACCAAGTCTTTGGCCCCTTCCATGGGACAGCCCTTCAGGCCTTTGAAGACGGTGATCATGTTTTTTTCCTTCTCCAGACTAGAAAGACTTGTTCAGTGGTTTGTAACACAGGGTTGTGGCTCAGTGGCAGAGGAAGCGCTTGGCATGCAGAAGGTCCCAGGTTCGATCCAGTTAAAATATCTGGCAGTGGGTGACCTGAAAGACCTCTGCCTGAGACTTTGGACAGCCGCTGTCAGTCTGAGTAGACAATACTGACTTTGATGGATTCAGCATACTGATCCAGGACAAGGCAGCTTCATGTGTTCATGTATCTGACCTGAAGACCTTACTTTCCAAAATTTGACAAAGGAGAGATAATGAAGGCTGGAGAAGATGTGGAGGTGGGAATAGAGCAGGGAAGGAATATGGGTTCACACTGGCAACACGCACACAGGAGATTGAGATGTAGGGGTTGTGCCAAGGGCTTCTTCAGAAAGGTGGCTTTTGAGGAGGGGTTTGAAGGAGCTGCGGTGGCTCAAGTGGTTAAGACGCTGAACTGCAGGCTGTGGAAGGTCGGTAGTTCAGCAGTTCGAGACCCGAGTTGCCGCATGATGGAGTGAGCTCCCGTCTCTAGCTCCAGCTCCTGCCAACCTAGCAGTTCGAAAGCAAGAAATTGCAAGTAGATAAATAGGTACCACTTCGGTGGGAAGGTAACAGCGTTCCGTGCACCTCGGTGTTTAGTCATGCCGGCCACATGACCACGGAAACGTCTTCGGACAGCACTGGCTCTTCGGCTTTGAAACGGAGATGAGCACCGCAACCCTAGAGTTGGATTCGACTGGCTTTCGAGCAAGGGAACCTTTACCTTTACCTTGAAGGAAGTGAGAAGTTGACATCATGCAGATGTCCCTGGGGATAGCTCCAGGCATAAGGGGCAGCGTGGGAGGAAGGGTGGAATCATTGGGTGGGCTTAGGGGACCCTTGGAACAGCTGAGGGTGGTGGGGCAGACATTTCTGCTAGCTTCGTTTTAATGCAACAGCCTAAGGTTATGAGCCTGTCAAAGTTTAGAAGCTAAGCAGGGTCGGCCATGGTTAATACTTGGGTGGGAGACCACTGGGCAGGCCCGCAGCTATGGTGGGGCCTCCTGGGGCCTGGCCCCCTGTCATCCTTCCGAGGCCCCACGATTTCCTATCTAGCCCAGGCCCCCTGACTCTCTGGGCTGTCCTGAGGATTCCCCATGCCACCGCCACCACCCCTTCCCTGCCTGCCAGCAGCCCTGCCGGCTCCATCCTGGGCTGGCAGTTGTGGGGGAGAAAGGCTGGCCTGGGGGTCCTGAGCTGGCGGTGGCACAGGGCTCCCAGGTGAGGAAGCGGCACAAGGCGGGTGGGCCAGCAGGTGAGGTGGGGCCCACAGGAACCTTTGGCAGTGCTCAGAGGCCGGTGGGGCCAGGCCGGGGTGGCTCTCCCTCACCCTCTTCTTCCCCTTACTCCTGTGCCCAGGTGCCCAGCCGGAGCACTCGTGGAGGCCAGCTCTGCAGTGCCCACCTTCCAGGGCATGTTGGGGGAGGGCCCGGGGGGTCCCGAGCCGGCAGCGGTGGCACGGGGCTCACAGGAGAGTAAGCGGCTGGCCCGTAGCTAACATGGGGGCCACGGGGCCCGACCCCCTAGTGTTTCTTCTGGGGCCCCTCTCCTGGGCTGCCCCCAAAGTGCTCCAACTTACCACCTGCATGGTACTTTCATTTAATTAGCTGGCCGGCCCCCCGAGGCCCCCTCCCCCCAAATTCCCTAGCTACAGGGCTGGTAAGCGGCATGAGGCAACCAGGCAGGTGGGCTGGCAGGCAAGGTGGGGCTGGCAAGAACGTTTGGTGGGCTCAGAAGGCAGCGGGGCAGGGCCGGGACACCTCTTCCTCATCCTGTTCTGCCTCTCCTTCTCCCTGTGCCTCTTCTCCCTGCGCCCGGGTGCCCAGCTGGAGTGTCGGCAGAGGCCAGTTCTGCTGTGCTGGGCTTTAAAAAAAAAGCCACCCTTTTTATTTTAATCTCAGTGCCCCCTGAATTATGTAAAGGCTCGACGGTTTAAGAAATCCTGGCTACAGGCCTGCCCCTGGGGTTGCTATGCAGGGAGAAGCAGTGGCAAATGACCGCTGCTCGTCTCTTGCGTGGAACGCCCTGTGGATCCGGGTCACCATGAGTCCGATGCAACTCGACAGTACATTCTTCTTCCGTCAGATGCAACCATGGTGGGTTCTTATCTTCTGCCATTTCAGTCTTGGGCTCTGCGTTTGCAGTATTGCCATTGGAGTGTGTCTGCTCAAGACCAACTCCGAGTGAAGCGTGCATGCAGGCAACTGCCTCCGTCTCAGCCTAATAATGCATGGTGAGGGGGGTGTCTGGAGGACAATGCCCACTCAGCATCAGGAGTTGCTGCACGCTCCACCAGCTGCTCGCTGCATGGAGAGACATTGTTAAATGACTATTAGAACTTCACTACTGCGGTGGCTCAAGTGGTTAAGATGCTGAACTGCAGGCTGTGAAAGGTCGGTAGTTCAGCAGTTCGAGACCCGAGTGTACCGCATGACGGAGTGAGCGCCCGTCTCTCGTTCCAGCTCCTGCCAACCTAGCAGTTCGAAAGCAAGAAATTGCAAGTAGATAAATAGGTACCGCTTCGGTGGGAAGGTAACAGCGTTCCGTGCTCCTTGGTGTTTAGTCATGCCGGCCACATGACCATGGAAACGTCTTTGGACAGCGCTGGCTCTTCGGCTTTGAAACGGAGATGAGCACCGCAACCCTAGAGTTGGATTCGACTGGCTTTCGAGCAAGGGAACCTTTACCTTTACTTCACTTGGATCTGCTAGGTTTATAAAACAGACCTGGTTGCTGATGCTTGAGCCAAGTGTGGGAGATGGCTGGTATAAGCTTTCTTG